AAAGGACGGGGGAGGGGCTATCAATTTTCAGTGTATTTCTTCAAGTATAACAAAATGGAAGAACCTTGACCCCACTCCCAATACCACTGTGCTGAAGGCAATGACATACGGATGAGAAACGTGACCACTAAAGCAGAGGAGCAAAAACGGCTATATAAAAGAAACAGTCACAGAGTGAATGGTGCTTGGAGTGCTTTTTCCTGTGACCATACAAACAATCAGACTTTTCGTAAAATGAGCGGGATATTCACCTGCATGTCAAAAGACTTTTACCACATTATCTTGCCAACTATCTTCCCCACGATCAATCATTAAATTTTCTATCTTTTCTGCCTTAAATCACAACGAATCCAGTAATGCTGAATCCCCTTTCGTTAGCATGATCCAATATTTCACAAGGTAAGTTTCGGCTTACTTACGGCAGCAAAACACTACTTTACAGCTCCGATCTTCTCGTCAACCCTGCTCGGTACAACTAATTTTGGCTAGGCTTCTATCGTCCCTCCCTTTTATTCTACTCCTTTATAAATTTCTTGGAAACCAAATTTCGCTCGACAAACTTTGCTTCTGTTGTCTATTATTTTAGTGTCCATGAGTGATAATTTTGACCTACATTTGACCTAATTTGACCTACTTTCGACCTGCTTTGACCTATATTTGACCTACTTTGATCTACTTCTGATCTACTTTTGACCTATTGAATAATACGAAGGAAAATAATAAAGTCTTACGAAAGTTCACGTTCAAAAACCCACGTTAATTCAGCTCCAAAACAAAGAAAAACGACAAACTGTGTTAGAAAACAGCTAACAATATCATTATGCTTCCGCAGAGTGCCAATCTCCTTCTGTGTCTTGGACAATTCTTCCACTTTCGAAGCCAGAGTGGCTTTCTCTTCTTCGGTAGCTAGAACACGCTCCATCAGGGCTTTGACCAGTTCCTCGCCTTGCAAACATCGACTGAGACTTTCCAATTCGCTTCGCACTTCTGCAAAAAAAATACATCAAAAAAAAAAAAAATACGCAAAAAAGTAAAGCAAAAAAAAAATCAAAAATATAAATTAGCTAAACAGGAATGTTTCGGTATGCAAAAAAAGTGAAAAAAAAAAAACAAAATAATCAGCTAAACATGAATGTTTCGGCACACAAATAAGTGGAGCAAAAAAAAAATCGAAAATAATAATCAGCTAAAAAGGAATGTTTCGGTACACAAATGAGTGGAGCAAAAAAAAAATCAAAAATAATGATCAGCTAAACAGGAATGTTCCGGTGTGAAAAAAGTGAAGCATAGAACAAAAACGCATAAAAATTAAAAAAAAAAAAAATCAGAATAATCAGCTAAACAGGAATGTTTTGATATGCAAAAAAGTGAAGCAAAAAAAAAAAATCACAGTAATTAGCTAAGCAGGAATGTTTCGATTTAAATCAAGTTGAGGATTGCATTCCAAAAATTTAGGCTCTTTGCTTCCGAATTTTTGGAGTGGATTATCCGGACAGTCAAAAATATATATCCAGAAAGACGTAATTTCGCCACGACCATAAACAGATGAACAAAAAAGGGAAAAAAAGAAACCTGTCTTCCTAGCTGGCGACATTTTCCCCGTCATCTGTATTTGCTGCCAAACATGGAAACTCGGGGCAAAATCCGAGCAAAGCTGCCAAACTAAAAAATAATGAACACAAATACAAAAGCGTTCCTGTCGAACAAGGCCCTTTCAATGACACAACCCCCCCCCCTTCGCCCCTCCCTTGCCTCCATATACAGAAACGGATGAAACAGAAGCGGGGAAAGGGGAAAAAGGGCGGCAGGAGCGTAAATAGGGGCGGGTGGGAGGGCGGAGTCGAAAGAGATCCGAGCGATGGTATCCGGCAAGAAACTCTAAACTACGTATGTCCACGGAAAAGGGAGAAGGGGAAAAAACATCTGGATGATGGCATTTTGCCAAGAAAAAACCACAGACTCCAAAAAAATATGCATTTTATTATCTTCCAATAAATAAAGTTGAAATCGTGGAATTTCGCATGCGTAAAAAGTCACCACGTAAAAAACCTGACCCCCCCCCGCCCCGCCCCCTGACTCCCCTTCAACCCAGCTTGCCCCGTGCATCGTGAGAGTTTCGAAAGGAAATCCGAAGGAATGCGAGTTCAAAGAGGTCTGCCGCTACTTCTTGCCTTTCGCAGAGGGCGAAGATGGGAAAAACTTCGTTTTTTTTGTTCAGAATCAAATATTTCAAAAATCCGAGGCCTCCTAAAATCGCATGCCTCAAATCCCGAAATTTTACTGGGAAATCCCCGTACAAAGAAATTCTCACAAAGAAATTTCCCTAAAGACCAAAGATCAACACGTTCTACAGTTCAAGGAGAGATGCTTTGGTACCGCGTGTGAATGTGTCGATGGATCGAAGGAACCGGATGATCCGCACAGGACATCACCGATTCATTTTGTATTTTCTGTGAAATCCAGCGCAAATTTTTTCCATGGTCAGGTGATCATGTCTTGGAACAGCAGATACATGCCGCAGATCATGCCAGGATCCGGTCAGGAACAAAAAAACCCAGCTCTCCCACATATGTGTATGTATACTGAGCTCGGCTTCGCACCCCCCCCCCCTTCCTCAATCCAAGAAACACCCCCGTTCTTTTACAGCAAGGAAAAA